CATTTTTATTTCTTTTTATATTATTAATAATTTTATTTTAGAAGTGAAAATTTTGTGGCCCACTTAACAGTTTCCATGGCCCTCCATTTTTCCAAATTTTGTCTGCGGCCCCACAGAAATACGGCTTGGCCCACTGGGGGTCATATGGCCCCCGTTGAGAACCACTGGTGTAGATAACGTGGGACCCTCAACGTCTCACAACCCTATAGGCCTTCACGGCCTGTTACAGGGATAGCTTTACTTTTTAATTTGATTTTATCTTTGTCATAGGTTAGGCCCTAATAGACCCTAAAATAAAACGAAAATATCTAATTTGATACATAATGAATACAGTAATTATTTAATAGGAGAACTTGCGAAACGGTGACCCGTAACGGGAAATGTGTCCTGCTATTACATTCACTACCAAATATTCTTCATGTTCTAAGAAGTCGATGTTTTGTAATGATTTCCACAGCAGTGACAAATATCTGTAGCTCATAACTTATCAATTTGCCCTTAAATACACACGAGTAAATGGACTCTTCTCTACAAAGGCGACTTTCTTCAGTTTTTCGGCGAGAAAAACCAAATTTCTGTAAATACTCAGCGTGTTTCTCTTACATATTGGTCCAGCAACCAGGAAGCTGGGAATGCGAACGGGACATAGGAGACCCCGAAAATAACAGCAGTCCAGTTGATGGCATTGCTGCTGACGTTGAAATAGCGCGTCGCGATGTTACTGATGATTGAGAACTGGATCCAGTGCATGGCGTTGGTGCAGGAGCACAGTACAAATATTGCCAGCATCAGCCAGCGCCTCTTATACTCCCGGCACTGCCCCGCGAGCGTTGGCACCACTGCCTGCTTCATTGTTACAAGTGTTGCCCTCAGATTCTGCGAGCTGAACTCCGAAGAAACCTAGATGGAGTTTTCACGGATTAGCAAGCAAAAAGATAAGCAAATTAACATTCATACAGCAGCCTAGCTGAAGAGATTTGATATGGTCAAAATTGATAAATTTCTCCCTGTGCTTAATTAGTTAAGCACTATGCCATGAAGAAATATGGGGGAATGAAGGTATAAAAACTAAAAACTCCGTGATTTTAGTCCGCAAACGAAATATACCGACCGAGCAACCGCCGCTTGTCAGCGAAGTTAATGCTAGCTTTAGCGGATAGATGGTGGTCAGCGCAACGAATCCCCACGGCCGTTAATTTCGGTTTTCTAGACCGGAGCCGCTATTTCCTTGAAATAGCTCCTCAATTATCATCACGAAGCAGACTGGACCCCGTTCCAGACCCACTACTTCTCAGAAAAGAATCTGGTTGAGCCAGGAATCGAATCCGGACCTCTGGATCTGTAGGCAGGATCTATGACCACTAGACCACAGAGGCGGTCCGAATGAAGGTATAGCTCCACTTGTCTTGCCTTCGGCACTAGATGGAAGTGAACGGTCACCTACACTCCCCTGTCGCTTTACCCAAGGGGGAGACCCCACCCCCCCAGTACCTATTGGATAGTAGGCTGTTTGGGCCCCATAGTCGGTCTGGACGCTGTGGAGAAGAGAAAATTCTTGCACTGCCGGAAATCGAAACCGGGCTGTCCAGCCAGTAGCTCCGGGGATCTTCCTGGGAATAAAGGGCGACCGGCGAGTAAGGCTGACAACCTCACCGCCATCTGTTTGTCGGTTGTCTAGAAAATGTGGAAGCCTCGACGTCTCTTACAGGGGTAGCTTTAGCTTGTTTTATGCCTCAGTTATTTGTGTTGGACTACCACGCCAACAACGCTTCCTTACATATGTGTAATTATTCCAAGGTTAATCGGGTAATTAGGTTTGAGTTCCACTTCACGCCATCTTATTCCTCTCGACCTAAGGCTGAAAACCCACTGACGCCTCTAGTCGCGAGCGGCTAGCCGCTTTGTCACTCGCGTCCGTTAGTTGTATTAGTGTATATGGTGTTTAACCCACTAACGCGACACGGCTGCCGAGTCGCTCGCGGACACTTATTCAACTATTATTTAAGGCTGATAACCCACTGAGGCGACTAGTCCCGTCAATGGGTTATCAGCTTACTTTCTACGGCCGCCTTACGATCAGTATCTAAAAAGACCCATGGACATGAAAGAATTGGCTGAACTCCTTAATGAAGTCTTTCTAAAAAACGGCTACTGTGCATGGAGCCATATCAAGTTCCAGAGCTGCAGGAATTTGGCCTCAAAGTCCAAATAAGTTTACCATGACTTTGGATGTGCTCACCAAACCAGTGACGTCGTTTGCAAGTAACAGAGGAACGCTTAAGAGAAGAATTCTTAACTTTAAAATTTGAAACTTCTATAGAAATGTCACGTGATTAGTCTGGGTCTCAGTCTGAACCAGGGACATCCAATGCTTTTAGTCTCGAACCAACGGTCTAGAAAACAAACCTGCTCTCTTTTCCGTAACTGTCCTACTCTGGATACAATTCCTTTTACTTGTAACATACTTACAGCTGTAACTTTTGTCGTAGTTTGTTGTTTTTACAGGACGTGCATCAAGGGAGTTTTTTTATAAAAGTTCCCGGCACCTGACCCTATATTTAANGCGTTGCTAGCTTGCTAGCTTTGCGTTTCTTGCTTGCTTGCTTTGCGTTTCTTGCTTGCTAGCTTTGCTAAAAAAAAAAAAAAAAAAAAAAAAAAAAGCTCCTTTCCAAGCTGAAAATATATGATGGTTGCGAAATGAAGTCCCAGAAACCCGCAAACTTCTACTTGCTTTTAGTTGTCTTAAAATAAAAGTTGTATTTTCCTGAGACATACTTTTATATACAGTAGAAAAATAAGAGCCGACTATGAAAGAAAATGAACAGGATTGCCTAACCTTGTCAGAAATTGTATGCCAGCCTTTCTGCCGGTTCTGCTTATGCCGACTGAGCGATAGAAATTAAATACGGTACTTCTTATAATGTAGACAAGTTTTATAAACAGTGATAATGTAAGACAGCTGTGTATTTCTATTCACAATACCTCCTATCTTTATTATTTGTTTACCAGTAAATATTAAACTTAATGTGCATGTTTAAATCACACTGACATTTACAGATTTAACCATTTTATACCATACCCAGACAGAAATCATCGTATTTTATCTTTGACTGAACATAAAGCTTATATGAATGTTCAAAGACAATGTTGAAAGTGCTCTATGTTGCGCTTTGTACACATGCCACTAATCTTGACCTTGATTCCAGACACGTTTCCATTGTGTTGCTGTTAGTGTGTATGTATATACAGAAACTAACCTCCAGTGTGCTGTTAACGAAACACGCAATGAGAAAAAAATTATTATATACAAAAATTAGTATATACTTGAGCTACTTCTCAACGTAGTCACCGCCTGAATTGAGGCATTTGTGTCATGGAATAAGTTTCTGTATGTCTGTGTCAAAGAAGCCACATTTTGACACCTTCCATCAACTTCTCATTATTGTTGAAGCACTGTGATCCCAGCCAGTTCGTCAGTTAGGTAGGTAAACAGGTGGTAGCCGCTCATCGCGAGATATCAGGGCTGTAAGGAGGATGGTCAAATATTTCTCAAGTTTAAATACACTAGCAGTGCTTGAGTGTGAGCAGCTGTATGTGGACTCACTAAACCGGGTGTCAGCATTCCACATCTTTTATTCTGACTGTCTAGCCCTCCACAGGGTTTTATTTGTGTTTTGTGATACACATCTGGCGTTATTATGGTCCCATATTGCATTAATTCCACAATCAGCCATAGCCCCCCATATCTCACTATAACCCTTGTGTGTGTGTGTGTTTGTATATATATATATATGCTTACGTGTTTGTGTATGTGTATACATTAACTGTGTGTTATTATATGATCAAATACTTTGTGTCTCATAAATTGTATAGAATGAAGTCATTCATTCACTTACTTCAACTGTGATGAAATCAAGTGACATTCTAGTTGGCATGTTCAGTGTAGAGACTTGCTCATGAGTGATATGCAAAATATTTTTTGCTTTACAGCTGCTGGTATAGGTACTATACTTAAAAAAAAATGAAATAGGGGCTTGTACAACGTATTTTTATTTTGTGGCACACAACATAATTTAAACATAGAGTTGCATCACAATATGTTGGCTGATCGGTACAAAACCTCAACTTGTTTAAATTACTTTTGCAGTACTACAAACAGGAAGACATTTTTATTCTTGGAAGTTGCAATGTGCATGTTCCTTGTAACTTCAGGCATCATCATCCTACTTGGGAATAAGATTTGAGGTTTTCGTGGCACTAATTCTCATTTCATTTTAAATATGAATCAGTTAAATTAACTGCATCCTTCATTACACAGTACATGAAAGAGGATTTCTCTCCAATGGTGTCCTCTCTTTCTACTACATTTAATGGTTTTCAGAACAGAATATTAGTTGGTTCTGTGCCATTTAGTATTTTATATAATAAGTTATGATACAATACTCTGCTTCTATAGGATAATATTGGTCTTCGAACTGCTTTACAAATCTGATTTCGCTTGTGTATTGAGATCATATGATTGAGAACATGAAATGATAAGGAACCCACAATTCTCTCATGTCTGTGTGGTCAGAATTTCCTCTTGCTCCAAATGTGCATGTGAGCGCCTTAGTGCCACGGCTGCCTGGCGCTTAAGGGCCTTTCCTTCTATGAGCAATGTCATGGACAGACCTGCCAACAGCAAAGCTGTCAGTGTGCAGTTAGTAGCCATGTCCCCATGTGCATCCAACATTTCCCCACCAGTCAGAGTGAATATGACACCAAACACTTCACTAGACACATTCAGCAGCCCAGATGATGTTCCCTCAGGAATTGGATAGGTGAGTTCTGCCGCAAACTCATAACCAATGCCCAGGTAGCCCGTCATGAAAAAACTGAAACCAGTTACATACAGTTTAATTATTTCCTCGTGGTCTCTGGGCTGTGAAGGAAAGAAAATGAGACAAATAGCAGTGAGGAAAATATGATATATATACATATGAATATATTGTAACATGTTTTGCTACTGAATACACTGTTTAGATTGTTAATTGGTTTATTTAACAACCTACAAGTCATAGCTACAATTAATTATAACACTGTTGTGGGTCAAATACATCACAATATGTATTATGGCAAGCAGACCCGGTGCTAGACAATGACCATGTAATAAGTGTACAGCAGCCCATAAATAGCAACAGAGGAATGGTGTTTTCTGTGCCGTTCATGCTGAGATTTATAAGAAGGGCAAGTGAGGGGTGAATGATTTAGTGAAGAGTTGGTTGGTGAGTTAATGAGTGAAGAGCATAACAGACTGGGAAGACCTAATGTGTCTTACGGTGATTTGTGAAGTGCAGTAGTGAGTTGTGTAAGAGTTCAATAAATCCAATTACTGATCCAAACCCCATCTATAGTCACTAAGATCGTGATACTATAATGATACAATTTTAGGAAATGTACTGGAAACAAGAGATGTGACTGCAGACCTAACAGATCACACAAAAGATATTTTGACATGATGCCTAAGACTCAGGATCTTGGAACGACAGAAAAATCGCAGCAGTAACCATTACCGGAATCATGATGAAACATATCCACGTGCCCACCACAGTGGAAGTACTGTTGAGCTCAGCATTGTCGTGTCTGTCTGCAGGAGGGTGATGTACACAGAGCTTGCAACCTAACAGAGGAAAGAGGGAGGAGTTCTGAAGGGTCCCACAGCCATCAGACAGTAAAATATGGTCATGGGTCCTGTGAGACCTGGAACCAAGAGTGACTGTGCTGGCAAAGACCAGCAGGAATTTAGAACTGAACTGTGAAGAGGAGCTGAGAATCAGTCTCACATCTCAGTCAGAGTCATGAGACAGAAAGATATGGTCATGGATCCTGTGAGACAGGAACAAAGAATGACTGTTTTGTCAAAGCCAGCAGCACTTCACCCGAGACCGGAGCAGAGGGGTCCAAGTACGAGTAGTTGCAGGACTCCAAGAGTCAAGAAGCAGAGAAACATGACCATGAGCCCCCCAGGAACTGTAACCAATAATGGCCGAATTATCATTCCTTAAAGTTTTAGATGCCTATTCTGCATATATTGTCATATTGACAGGGGAAGCAGTCATACCACAGGTGACAAACAGATACTTTTATCTGTTGGATATAATTTTTTTAAATTTTGTAAATTTGGCAGTGCATAACAAACCACTCCTCCACAGCTATGTGCTGTGCTGATTACTGGCACTGAGGATAAACTCAGGCTGCATATATTGCTGAGTGTGAGGGCCTTACCCGAGAAACCCGCCAGTCAGGTAGATCACCCAGATGTGTCCAAGTGTCAGTGTGAACGTGAACGCCAGCATGCCCGCCAGTCCCATGAAGTAAACCACCAATGTGCATTCCCTGAAACCACACATTTGTCTAATAACATACTGCAATAACAGGAAAATTTCCTGTGCATCCTGCGATTAGACCATAACTGTTTCCGTCCAAATCCTTTCAATTCATACCATTTTCAATACCATTTGACACCACACAGTCTAAATACTGATAGTACCACGACATAAACCACTTCCTTTCCTTTGCATGTTAGGGGGTTCTCACAGCTGCTATTATATAACACCGTGTAGTGGAGACAAATTGAAAGGGTGTGTCAGAGGAGTATGTCACCTAGGGTTGCCAGATTTTGTAAAATAAAAAAAGGAGTGCTGTCTCGTTGCTGGTTTATAACGACATTTTTCACAACTAATAGGCTATAAAATATAGATAATCAACATACTACATAACTTACAAAATGCTATTACACATCTGTATTACATAGGCCTACTACACATTTATAGAACAAAACAAATATTACGTAGCCCTTGCTAACTTGACACTGACTTTCTAGCAAAGATTGAACGGATTAAAAATACACTATCACCAACAACCTCTGCTTTGGTTTAGAACCTCAAGTGTTGCCAACATTCACGAAATGCAACATAACGAAAGAAACTATAACAATATCATTTTCCAAGGATTACAGAAATGTTATGATAATATTTAACCCATGAAATATAATTTGCAATGGACTTAAATAAAAAAAAAACGGAGACTTATCCACTCCAGGTAAACAGTAAACGGAGGAACAAAATTTGGGTGAAAACACGGAAGAATCCGGGGAAAACGGGGTTTCTGGGAACCCTAGTGTCACCTCCATCCTGAGGGCTGAAAAGTAAACCAAGAAAGATGCCACTTGGCTTACTCTTCATTTATGCAGGAGTAGGAGACATGTCTATCCGAAATGTCAGTAGTCTTTGCTCATCCAATCATTTATTCATGTAGAGCCTAGGATGAACATTGTAGTGTTTCTACTTCCCATTCATGAGACCATTGATTCAAATCTCAGCCTGGGGGCCTGTTATTGGTACTGAGGTTTCCATAATTTTCCTCCATCTCTTCAGTAAAAGCCACAGTAGTAGAATTAAGGCTATGGCCTCTTCTTTCCATAAGCTTTCAGTTTCATTAGCATTAATTTTATAATTATATACTGTATAGTATGAGTTACTTACAGCATCATTAAATAAAACACAAATAAATAAAAATATACAGTGTAAAGTATGGATATTGTGTGAATTTACATCATGGCTGAACATCCAAAGCCTGCATATGAATCTTACCTTGAGGGGGGAGGCAGAATTCAGATGAGTCATTTTTTAAAAACTCGTATATTACATAGTGTCAAATGGCAGAACATCTCCAGATCGTAAACCCTGAAAGTTGCTGAACTGTAAGTCACAGGGAAGAATAGAATTAGTGTGTGCTCTTAAGAGATGAGAGGCTCTGCTGATACAGAATTTGGATCTGGACAAGACAACAGACAAATTCCTTGATGATGATGACGACTATGATGGAAGAGTATGAAAGAAACTGGTATCACCTCAGAATATCCTACAGGGAATGAAAAAATGATGAAGTCTCAATCAAGGTAGCTAGTCTTCAGATAAAGATTCAGACTTTGAGAATACCCAAATACAAAAGAGAAGTACATCATATCCATTTGAATGTTCTGCATTTAGATTCAAACAGTTCACGTCAAGATCACTACTATATGTAATAATAAAAACGCCATCGTGAATGCAACAATTTATTTGGTTGTAGATCTTTGTCTTTTCTTCCTCTACACTACATGTATTTTTCACTACGTAGCTGTCACACTGCACACAGTCCAAAATCTAAAACAGCAGCCTGTCAGTTTTGTTTAAAATCTCGCCAACATACGCTCGTCAATTTGATTTTAGAATCCCAGTTTAAAATTTAAAATTCAAAATTTAATTTTAGATCACAGGGATACCTGCTCTTGTCTACATGTGCTGCAGCGGCTATTTCTTTTTTTTTTCAGCACCATTCATGAATTATTCTGTGCAGGCTTCCTGTGTGTGTGTGTGTGTGTGTCGCTGCTCATCTTTAATACTTTTGCGACAGTCAATCATGTAAGATTTAAGTCCCTGTAAAATGCTGTCCTTGATTATTCTCTTACTTAGCAGTAGTGACATAAACTGAACACATATATCCTAACACTCACTTGAACCTATGTGTCTTATCGAGGATAATGCCCCCAGTGACAGATCCTACCACTCCAGCCAGCACAATGGTGAGACCAATTCTGCCAGCATCTTCCTCTGCTTCCTGTAACAGAGATGTGACAGGGGTTTAAGGGTGAGATCCTTTGGCATTACAGTGGGAAATGCTTCTTAAAATATAACTAATTCACTGGAAAGAACAATTTGCTTCTACATCTGTTCTACTCATTCAAAATTAATTTAGAAACCTGTTATATTCTCACTCCATACCAGTCTTTGTTTCTTTCATTTTTTCTTTCCCACATTTATTCCTCCTCTTTTAACAGTCTCTGTCATTCTCTCTTGCAGTCAATTTCACACAAAGTCTGGTGTTTATGTACAACTCACAGCAAAGTGCAGCAGCACTATCTGGTTCAGCAGTGTTGACACAACATAGAACACAGCCACATTGATGCCATAGCTGAGCAGAAGTAGCACAAAGTTCCTGTTTGTGAGCAGTGACTTCAGAGACTGCAGGTATGTCTGTCTGTCTGCAGTCTTGTCTGTTATTGGAACTTGGCATCTCAGAGTGGCTTGAGCAGGGCTGGGGGGAAGTGGCGGCTCCTTCTGGAAAACTGCACCCTACTTATTTGGAGAAGTCTTCTTACACAGTTATTTTATTTTGGTATGAAACATTTATCTTTATATCATAGAAAACTATAAATTACATATATTCAAAATCATAACATGTGGGGGAGCACTAATTCATGATGTAGATAATGTAAGAAGGAAACAGACGATATTACATAGCAAGGAATGCAGAGGTGAAGGTTTAGCAGATTCTAGTAAATATTTCTGAAGCATTCCAAGTGTTGCATTAACATAACAGAAAATGAAGTTTTGGAGATGTATACAGATGACAAGGTGGAATGTGGTGCAAAGTAAAAGGGACAGCAAAGGAAGTAAAGGAAGCAGCATGCATTGGACAGCGAATGTTACATGCATGTAAGAAGAATGGCTGAAAAGAAAGCATTAAAGTAATTAGTTCTAGGGATCAATTCTAAACTTTTCTAACGATGATATATTGCACATAGTATTACTGAGTTTGTGGATTTCATCCATCACCTGGTGTTCCAAAGAGACTTAAGGCAAATACAAATATTACTACAAATCTTATGCTTCTGGACATTATCTATCATCCTATTTTTATTTAAAATAGAACATTTTTGAGAATGGGTTCTGTCTCTACTCTTCATGTAAAGGTTAAATAAAAACAGGACGATGGATAATGTCCAGAAACATCGTCACAGACATTTATATCTTTAAGATCTTAACTGCTTGTCTGTCCCCAGGTGAGAAGGTGGAAATATTAATTAAGATTAGTTCTTTCCAGTGGACCTGACCAAGTACATGTCTGCCTGCCTGCCTTTCAACTTGGGAACAGAAACAGATTCGGTTTCTGAAACACTGTGTTGTGTTTGGAATACTGGTCAGCAGAATAAAGCACAGTGATCACATGCGATTTACTGTTGACAAATGGAGTTCTGTGAAAATTTGACTGACACAGAGAAAGTTACTTACAGAAGAGTACCAGGCAAAGAATGATTGAAGGACCAGTTGCCATGCCATAGTATAGGATCTTGAGATCATGTCCAATGTCTTCAAGCTGTTCATGATTACCAACCACTTCAGGGGGAATCAGGAAGCCGAGTGCCACACCAACCTAAACATCATCAAGCTGTGACATGAACTTCACAGATTATGTTCTACAAACAGCTCTGAATACCATGCACCCAGTCCTACCTGATTACCAAACACTCCAAGAGCGCATGCCGTGGACACCTGTTTCGGCCCAAACCAGACAGCAGCAAGACGGGCTGGCACCCCTAATATAAATATCTGCGCTGTTCCCACCAGCGCCTGGCCAAGGAACGCAAGGTAGAAACTATCAGGAGATGCAGACAGAACTTTGAGCCATGCTCCAGTTGTCATAAGGGCAGCTCCAGACAGCAGTGTCACACGGAGACCCTGGGAAACCGAACAAAACTCTGTTACCCACCCAGACATGTTCTTGTGCTGTTTGATGATGCAAAGAACGAGTGAATAATAATAATAAGTATTATATATTCAAATATTACAGCATGGGACATGTTTTCATTTTCAACTTAATATTCTTTCTACCTCCAGTTGGTCAAGGCACTATGCTATAAGGGCTTTTACTCTTTCTACCTTTAGACTTTGATGTACAAAAGAATAAACAATCTCTATATGAATGACCTTGTGGTCTCTGTTTCTGTGAGGCCTATAAACATTTTGTTCATATCTGTAGTATCTAACCAGCTGCTTTTATAAACACTTGTTAATTTTATTTAATATACCATCATGTATATGGGGTTAGCGTGATTTATAATTGTGGGTTCTGGGTTCTAGATTTGATGATTGGATTTGTTGGGCATCTCTGTTACAATTACACTTAATTATAATTGCTCACACATTGAATTCCTTCTTAACAACATCTCTCTTGCAAGCCTCTCCCTGTTGTCTGCTTCTCAGATTGGTCTCGAGTCTCTCAAATTCTCCCCATGGATGTCTGAATCTTGGACTTCATGCTTACCAAATATAGACCACCACATCGGACAGTTGATTGTCCTCAGTTAATCCCTGTTGCCAAGGAATGTGTAACAATCTCCATGCAACAAGTTGGTTTATACAAGTGTATTCTTTGCTGTGGAAAAGTGTTTCAGCTAGCCATTTTCTAGCAACAGACGTCTCTACTGTCCTCTAATTGCACACTTCTGGCATTCAGGCATCATGTCAAAATATGTATTTCAGTCTCATAATAACATCTTACATGACTCTTGTTAACGAAATAACAGTTCATTTTAGTACATTTGTAGCTATTTGGAAATTGTTGTATATGATATGCAGAGTGCAATACTCCAATCTGTTTTACACCTAAGGTTGTAGAATACAATATTCTAATTCACAATTATGAAACTGTTTACAATCCATATGTTTAAAATGTTTTAGACAATTAAACCATATACAGTGCAATGGCTGTAACCCAAACATACTTAATCTGAACTCCCAGTTATCCAAGCTGGCCTACAGTGCCAGACATCCCCCAAAAAAAGAAAGGCACCTCCACAAATTACAAATTTAATCTGATTATTTTACTTGCTTTCAGTGAAAACAAATTATTGTTAAAACACAGTATATGCGTTACAAGACCTGCCTCTCTGGGTGGCGAGAGACATGAACCTGCTACAGCTTCCCGTGAGAAGACTGATCAGTACATTACAGAAAGCATAACAGTTCACAAATTTTGGATTGTTTGCATATGAAATATACCTATAAATCTTTTTAATATATAACTTTATTAAAATACTCAAATTTCATGTTTGAAATCCAGTACTGTGCATGGTTCAACTGTCCAAGTATACCAGTTGTTTAATAGTTGCACCGTATTCATGCCCTATCCTGTTGCTGTTGGTAAGTCATTGCTATTAATTTCGTCCTAGATGTCTAGCTAAATGGCATATTATTGTCCTCAGAGTTGTTAATGCTCGTTTCTCCTTGCGTGGCATCAAACAGAATTAACTGTTGTGTATAAAAGTGGCTGATTAAACAGTATGAGTTGATGAATGGTGTAATGAACCTTGGGATACACAATTTCATCACCAGATGAAAATATATTTTAAAAAGGATTTAATTGATGACCTGGAATAGCTCAGTCGGTATAGCAAAAAGCTGCAGACTGGGTGGCCAGGGTTCGATTCCATGCAGGGATGAGACATTTCTCTCTCCTCCACAGCATCCAGACCAATTCAGGGCCTACCCAACCTCCTATCCCAAGGTTATCAGTGGCTCTTTCCCTGGGGTAAGGCAGATGGGGTTGCAAAGCTGACCACTCACTTCTGTCTAGTGCCAAGGTGAAGAATGGTGGAGCTATATCTCCACTCCCCATATGTCTTCATAGCATGGTACATAATTAAGTGCAAGGACAACTTAACGTTTACCTATGCACACTTATCACAGTGTAAAGATTTGGTGACCTAACGCACCTAAGTTCTCTGTTTCCTACCACTGACATAATAGTGAAGACCCAAAGATGTTATGGAATTTACTGCATACTCTTGCCAATATATACAGGAGCAATAGCCTTCATAGCAGTGTGCAAGTATTGTGGTACAGAGATTTTGGAGGCAATTCAAATCCTCATTTCATATTTTTCTGCAATTAAATGAGTGAACTTCAATTTCTTAATCTGATTTTTATTTCTTTAAAGTTGTAGCTGCTACATATTACAATTTTTTTTATTGCTAGTGGGGTGGGACTAAGTCACTTGTACTGCGGCCACTTCTGGCCTGTTGTACCAGCCCAAGATGATAGGTGAGGGTGATTGTGGAGCAATTGGTGGAATGAAGTTTGGCAGGGGAAACCGAAGTACTTTGAGAAAATCTGCCCCAGCACCACTTTGTCCACCACAAATCCCACTTGACCAGACCTGGGATTGAACCCGGGCCACCGCGGTGGGAAGCCAGCGATTAACCGCTTGAGCTATGGCACGGCCTTACATATTATGATAATGCCAAGGAAAGTAACCACATCCCAGGCAAAGAAGGGCCACTTCTGCTTGTTTAATAGAAGAATTAATTTTATCTTTATGCCAGAATCTCCTTACCTTGCGATCAAGCACCCATGAGGCAGGGAACACAAATGGGATGTAGCACACCATGTAGATCATAGATGTCCAGTTGATGGCGACATTACTGACATGATAATACCGTGTCATGATGTTGGCAATAATGGAGTATTGGAGCCAGTGCATGGAATTGGCTGTAGAGCACAGTACAAATATTGCCAGCATAAGCCATCGCCTTCGGTATTGCCGGCACTGGCGAGGTGCTGCAGTCTCTTGCTCAGGCATCGCTGTGCCTGTCAACATGTTGGTACAACTGTTATAGCTGTTCAAAAAATAATGTAAAATAATAATGTTTGCTACTTAGTCATTTTTGTATGTGCTGTAAATATAGCAGTGGTAGGTAAACGTAAAGTTGTCTCTGTCCTTAACTAATTAAGCACTACGCCATGAAGACATATGGGGGAGTGGAAGTATAGATCCATATTTTCTTGACTTCAGCACTAGCTGGAGGTGAGTGATCAGCTTCACGCCCCTGCCACTTTACCCCCAGGGAAAGAGGTTGGGTGGACCCCAGAGCTGTTCTGGACAACATGGAGAAGAGAAAATTCTTGACCCTACTGGGACTCAAATTATGACTCCTGTGTCGTCCAGCCTGTAGGCAGTCGCTATACAAACTACACTAAGCTGGCTCGTAGTCAATTATAATTTTCAGATTAATGATTAAAAAACAGTGATCACTTTTTAGAAAATTCATTTATCCGAACTACTCATAGAAACAACTGTGTCATAAGTCCAGAAGCAACTTTAACTGCAGTACAAAACACGTTTAGAGAAGACCGAACCACGTTTCAATGCGCTTAAGTCGCCAAATATTTATGAGAGAGAAAAATCTTTGAAGAAAAGCGACAGAAAAATGAAATGCATTCTCTACTAAATTCACTTGGTCCTCAAGTCTTTGCGGGTTTGGCGAGGAGCGTAATTAAATTAAAGTGAGCGAATGCGCTAGGATTGCAAAGATGCCTCAATTTCTTTCTCAGTCATGGCGTCTACGGAAAGCGTGTGGTGTTTGAGTGCTTTGTTGCGTCATTCGCAAGCCCGACCTCAGCTCCTCTTCGCGCGCAAATTGCCATTTATATCGTTCGAGATACAATCTTGTGTGACTCGTACCATTCGAGCTGATGTGCCGGAAGTCCGTCTGAGGATCACTTCCTCTTGCGTTATACGTTCTCTCATTTCACAGTGATCATTTGAAACTGTCGAACGGTGTGCTCAAACAGTTGACGTCAGCTGTTTGTTGTATTGTGTTTATGCGTGTTAATAAGTCAGTTGACACAAGTTATTACTCTGCATTTAGAGAAAGCGGTATTGTTTCTATGTACTCCAACATACGCGGGAGCCGGGATAGCGCATTCGGCATAGCGAATAGCTACGGGCTAGACGATCGATAGGTCTGAGTTCGAGTCCCGGTAGGGACAAGAATTTTCCCTTGTCCGCGTCATCCAGACCGGCTCTGCGGACCACCCAACCTCCTATCCAAAGGGTGCCGGGGGCTCTTTCCCCGGGGATAAGGTGGCCGGGGTGTGAAGCTAACCATTCACCAAATAGTGCAGTGTCAAGAAGACTTGGATCTATACATCCATTCCCCCATACGTCTTCATGGCGTAGTGCTTAATTAGTTAAGCACAGGGGCAACTTTACCTTTTACTCCAACATGTGTGGTATGTTTAGATGAACGTTGCAACACAATGGCGGATTTACGAGTCCATGTAAAGGCGGCTATGTTGAAGTTCAGAGTATCACATTATGAGGGGCGTCAAAATATAAACTAGCGTAAGGGACTTTCTATCTTAATTTGACATCTGTGCTTGCTTCGTCGCAGTTTCTATTGCACATTATCATGTTACCCCCCTCGACATAGCCTGGCCTCGGGTATTTCTATATAGCTGTAGTTATACTAACATGGGTTGTTATCTCTCTCTGAGGGACCAAAGAAAGTACGTGTCTCCCTCCACCTCACCTGAGGACGGAAACTGATTCAGTTCCCGCAACGTTGTGTTTTGTGTTTTTCAGAACCTTTTAGAATCCAGGAAGTCTGTAACGGGTGATTTTAAGCACCTGCAGCCTGGCAACATTTGATTCCGGTACATATCCTTACAATCCTACGGATTCCGTTCTTATTCACGTGATTCTGCTTCATGGATCTGATCACAACAAGGAAAATATTCTTATCGGTATAAGTAAAAAGTAAAGCTATCCCTGTAACAGGCCGTGAAGGCCCATAGGGTTGTGAGACGTTGAGGCTCCCACATTATCTAGACAATCGGCTCACAGATGGCGGTAAGGTTGTCAGCCTTACGCGCCGGCCGCCCTTTACCCCCCAGGAAAATTATTTAATTAATTCCTGGTACTGATTTCTGTTAGAAGCTGAGTCGACCCCAGGGTCATAGTGCGGCCGGAAGGATTAGGTCAATTGAAAAAATTCATTGACCTCATCGGGACTTGAATCCGCGACCTTCCGGCTTGTAGCATAGCCCCTCAACCAACTACGCTACCGCGTGCCCCCTATTCTTATCGGTATACTGGAAAAAATACATTTTTACATTGTGGTCCCCGGGTCCATAGCGAAGATAGCTCAGTGGTTTGAAACTGGACCGCTATGATGTAAAGTAACCATCAAGCCTTGTATCTGCAAATATTAATTTCGAACCTCAACCAGAGAGGTACATGGAAGAGCTACGGGCTGGACGACCAGTGTTCTATTCCCGACAGTGACAAGAGATTTTTCTATATTCTACAGCGTCCAGACTGGCTGTGGTACCCACCAAGTCTCATACCCAATTGGTGCCAAGGGTTTCCTCTTGGGGTTAAAGCAGCCGTGGCGTGAAACTGACCACTCACCTCCATCTAGTGCCGTGGTGAATAATGGTGGAGCTATACCTCCATTCCTCTATACTTCTTCATGGCGTTTTGCTTAATTTAGTAAGTACAGAGACAGTTTTACCTGAACCAGAGTATACTTGCCGACTCTCACGTTTCCTGGCTTGATTTCACTTGATCTCAGCAGGACAACATATGGCCTGCAACAAACCGGGATTGTCCCGCATTTCCTTATCTACCTGCTGTGTACGAACATCTCCCCATGTTATTGCATATTACGTAATATTTTTATGAAACACTTTCGTAAAATATAAAAAAAGTAATCTCGTCATTATGTAACGGTGTGAATTATTTTGTTTCAGCGTGTGCATCAGGTGCAAATATTCTCCTTAAATCTTTTTTGGCATGTGTGCTACTGGAGGTTAAACAAATTCGCATATTAGCTTCGACATTCCTGTCAGCACGTGACAACTAGCGAAATGCTGAACGGAAATTCATCAAATTTGACACTGGTGAGTTAAAGCAAAATATATCGGCCCATTCAAACTTTAGTTAAAATCGCAAGAAAATAACGGATATGAAGAAAGCAGTCTTCTGGGATTTGGCACCGTGTATATGTGGTGTTAACCGACGTTTCGGAGGAAACCCTGAAGATGGGGGCGATACGTTCCTCCGAAACGTCGGTTAACACCACATATACACGGTGCCAAATCCCAGAAGACTGCTTTCTTCATAGTCACCGCCGTGAAAGCCTCAAATCTTACAAATAACGGATACTTTACATTTGTTCCTATGCGCGTCTCAAACGTAACTAATTAAATATTTATCTGAATCAAAACTGCTTCATAACAGAAGTTGGAGAGAAAAGTTATGTATAAATCTTATGTTCAATAAGCCTTTCCGAAATATTTCCGTCTTCCTGATAATTTAAAGAGAAACGTGAGCGAACGCCACGGAATTGTTGCGCTATGCGTACTTTTCCTACCTTGTTCTGAGCTGCCTACAATCGGATTTTGCCCCCAGCGTGCTGCAGCCTTCACACCCAGCGCCCAGCAATGCAACACAAAATACACCCACGTGTTCGCAGTTACTGAGCCTGCAACAACTACACGTACCTGTACAAGCTCGTCTTTAGTACGCGGTGAAATTAGTGACATCTGCAGTTATCACCTTCAGTTTCGTGTACATCAATACCGACAGAACATTTCGCTTCGTGCGCGTTAGCTCAAGCGGGTACGGAGCAACCAACCTCCAGGACTACGATTAGTAACCGATGTTAAAGAAACGTCAGCAGTTCCTGCTTTCGCCAAATAACACAAAACTACGCACACAGCAACGGTGTTACTGCATCGCTTAAATTATCTGTTATGCATATACGCACCGAGGTTCGACTCCTGACAGCAACGCAGTTTCTAAAATTGCTCCGGAGTTCACATATGATCTCCACCGGTAAACGCCCAGAGTTCTTTATCTGGGTGTAAAAACAACAGGAGTGTGAAGCTAACCATTGACCTTCAATTACTGCCAAGTTTAATAACGTGGGGACTTACCTCCATGACAGCGGCCTCCGTAGTCTAGGGGTAACGTTCCCACCTCGTGACTCAAGGTCGTGGAATTTTTAAGGGCGGAAAAATTCAGGGAACAAGTCCTCCGGGAGGGACTTTAAGCCGTGGGTCCCGTGTCTTAGCTTTACGGCACGTAAAAGAACCTCATGTCTCCAAAGGAGGCCCCTGAGCAAAATTACGGACGTTTCCCGCCCAACAGTAGTCTCTAAAACCTCTGGTAGATGGAGGAAGCATTATGGATACCTCTCAGCTAGTACAGCCGGCCTCGCTGGCTGGGCGGGACTGATGGTAAGCACCAGTACCGGTAGGATATAGAGACTGGTAGAATATTATAAAGGGAAGCACAATGGACCAAGACAGATCTAAGTGCATGGGGAAACCCACCCTCTCCAATAACTAACTAACTACCTCCATGACCCATATACTCCCTCATAATGACCGATCACTAAATCTTCTAGCCATAGTACAGAAAAAACTCAACTCTCTCAGTGTGGAAACTTCCGTTTAAATTTAGAGTCTACACCGTGAAGTGTAATCTTGCATTGCAGTCCACTGGCTAAATATCCACAAAATGAAATATTTGCTGTATGCAATATATTTACAGTCCTGTATTAGCATCCAAATTTTAATATAATCTCCCAAATTCTATTCTGTCCCGTCCGATGAGCAGCAGGCTCGTGGTGGTGACCCTGTCCACCATGAGTAGTCAGTTTAATCTAGTTAAATGCTCCAGATGTCCCTGCACACAGGGTCATGGGACATATATCGGCCTACACACAGCCCTCAATTTTATACGTAAAATTAATATTGATGCGACGGAGCGCTTGGGATTTATGTTCGACGTGCCCAGT